ACAAAACCATTATACCCTGATTTCCCATTGAAAATGGGTTCAGGGTATAAAAATAGCTAGATGAGTTATCGATTTTTAGTGATAAACTCAATATCCGCGCTATACGTACGGACATTTCTGAGATCGACAGGGCTAAATCTACTCAGCTCGTCGCTCTGATCAAGAATATATATACTTTGTAAGGTCTGCCACGCCTCCTTCTGCTTGTTATATACATTTCAACAAAACCATTATACCCTGATTTCCCATTTTCAATGTGTGGTTCAGGGTATAAAAATAGTAATCAGATTTAAATTTACCTGTGAACTCTGTATTTTGTTTTAGATCCTCCAAAACTTCCGGCTTGAGTTTACTATTTTGCTTTCCCATTTTTTGACGCTGATTTCATTATAGTGTATTCTTAAAATAGAAGGAATATAAATTTATTACATTTTTTAAAGCAATAATATTAAAGGAATGTACAATCAGGCAATACAAAAAGTATCTAAAATTCGATAAAAAAGTTAACTCTTGCCAATGTTTATATGGTCAACATTCTGCAAGAGTAAAGTTATTTTTAGAGGTGGCCTCAAATCAGGCTAAGTCCTCTTGAAGGATAAATTTGGGCAGAATAAATAAATATATATGTAAACCATGTTATTACCGCGTATTGTAAAGTCTGCAAGGTATATTCAAGAACTTTGGATCCCAAATTTACCTATAATGGAAACAAGTAAGAAAGCTCTAGTCGAGACTGCTCGTTACGAGATCCCCTGAACCCTTCGAGCAACTGATATTTCAATAATTATTCGCCCATGCACACACACACGCACACACACAGCCATAGGCACGCACGCATAAATTGGCTGCAGTGGTGGCTTACTATGGGAACTTCATTGTTTAATAACTTTTCTTGCGGATGTACTTTTATGAATATTAAACTTTCAGATTATGAATATAACATGAATATGCATGCATTTGCCAAAGCACAAGTCTCTAGTATTTGAAATACGCCTTTTACAAATATATGGTTGAGGGGGTAAATTGGAAATGGAAGCTCTAGCTTCAAAAGTGTGGGAGATATAATTAAAAAACTAGCTTTCGATAAGGTTTTTAATCGATAATAAAATATCGGGAATAGTTATCGACAATTAGAGAAAAATTCGATATGCGCGTGATACGTACGGACCTATATATTATATCTTCTGACATCGATGCGTTCATACATACGGACGGACGGACGGACGGACAGACAGACGGACGGACAGGGCCAAATCGATTCAGCTCGTCGCCTTGATCAAGAATATATATACTTTGTGGTATCTGCCACGCCTCCTTCTGCTTGTTACATACTTTTAACAAAACCATTATACCCTGATTTCCCATTTTCAATGGGTTCAGGGTATAAAAAAAATTATCTTGTGTACTAATAACATTATATCCAATTAAAAAAATCGGCATGGGGGAAATAACTTTTCAAATTTAGCAGTAACTTTATTAGCTAGTTTCGATTCATAGAAATATATACACATTACCATACCTTTTGTTCTGAAAAAGCAAGCATTCACAGAAAGTCATTCCGACCATATCTATCACTATTAAAAGGAGATTATAGAAATCTTCCCCTTATTCACAATTTGAATTACGTAAGTATTGAAACAAATTAGGTGATGTTCAATATTTTATATAATTTTAGTATAAGAAATATAAATTAAATATTTATACATTTCATTACTGATTTCATCAAATACACACATATTATAGGATATAAATATTTAAGGGGCCAGCATTTTAGACAACTCTTCATCTTGCAAACATCCCTTTAAAAATTCATCTTGGGTTAATTGACCATCGTTATTTTCATCCATCTTAGCAAATATATTTTTTGCTCGCTCCTCAGCTGAATCAGCGGGACGATTTGATGAGCATGCGCCTAGCATGTCATAGATTGCCTGAAAAATGTTCTCAGATCAAGTTAATTTTTCATACAGTATATAAATATTTTTTTTTTAAATAATGTATAATGTAATATTTAGAGTTTATGTCATGAAACAAACATGACTAGGCGGACGAGTAAAATTATTAATACAAAAATAATCGTAAAGATGTTCTAACCAAACTGAAAACTGAATTAGTACTAATATAAATAGGAATACAAATCACATCTAGATCCACTACTACTACTGTAAATATCATGGATATCTTTAGCACAATGAAGATAATTTTTATATAATATACAATTTTTTGTTTTGTTATAAATTATAACCTATTAAACGTTTTTGAAAGATAAAAACTGATTATGTATTAAATGGTTGACTTGAATTGAATATATTAATTTTTTATTATATTTTAGTGGATACTCTCCAGCTTCATCAATATTAAAGACAATCATCCTATTGCTTACATCGTTTTTAATTAACACAATATAAATAAAGAACATTCCCATATTACTTTACATTTTTATACCCTGAACCCATTTTCAATGGGAAATCAGGGTATAATGGTTTTCTTGAAATGTATGTAACAGGGAGAAGGAGGCGTGGCAGACCCCACAAAGTATATATATTCTTGATCAGGGTGACGAGCTGAGTTGATTTGGCCCTGTCCGTCTGTCTGTCCGTATGTATGAACGCGTCGATTTCAGAAGATATAAGAACTAGAGACTTCAAATTTTTTTTTAAATGTCCGTAATTACAGCGCGCGATCTTTTTTTATCGATAAAAAACCTTATCGAAAACCAGTTATAAAATTATATCTTCTACACCTTTATTGCTAGAGTCTCCAAATTTTTAATGTATGCTTACATGCAATTTATACAATTTCGGTTTTTGTTAAAATTTACCCCCCACCCTTAAATTCACCCCCTCACCCTCACTTTTGTAAAAAGCGTATTTCAAATACTAGAGACTTGTGCTTTGGCAATTACATGCATATCCATGTTATAATCATAATCTGAAAGTTTCATGAAGATCGTACGTCCATAAAANGTCTGTCCGTCTGTCCGTCTGTCCGTCTGTCCGTCTGTCCGTATGTATGAACGCGTCGATTTCAGAAGATATAAGAGCTAGAGACTTCAAATTTTTTTTAAAATGTCCGTAATTACAGCGCGCATATCAAGTTTATCATTAAAATTCGATAACTCATCCCGATCTTTTTTTATCGATAAAAAACCTTATCGAAAACCAGTTATAAAATTATATCTTCTACACCTTTATTGCTAGAGTCTCCAAATTTTTAATGTATGCTTATATGCAATTTATACAATTTCGGTTTTTGTTAAAATTTACCCCCCACCCTTAAATTCACCCCCTCACCCTCACTTTTGTAAAAAGCGTATTTCAAATACTAGAGACTTGTGCTTTGGCAATTACATGCATATGTGTGTATATGTGTGTAGTTATGTGTATGTGTGTGTGTATGCGTTTGTGTATGTATGCGTGTGTGTGTGTGTGTGTGTCTGTATGCGTGTGTGTGTATGTATGCCTGTGTGTGCGTACGTGCCTGTGTGTGTGTGTGTGTGCGTGTTTCTTGTGTAAGCTGAAAGACGCGAAAAATTATTGAAATATCTATTGCAGGGGATCTCGTAGTCGGGCAGTCTCGACTAGAGCTTTCTTACTTGTTAAAAATAACAATTGTACAAATATAAACTTTTAAAAACAACAAAATGCTAACTAAAGCATATGATATATGAATATTATGATATAATATTAATTGAAATATAACCAGTAAGAAAGCTCTAGACGAGACTGCCCGACTACGAGATCCCCTGAATCCTTCGAGTAAGTAATATTTCAATAATTATTCGCACGTGCAATCGCACGCACGCATAATCATACATTTGCTGAAGTGGTGGCTTACTATGGGATGGACTATCTTCATGAAACTTTCAGATTATAAATATAACATAGACTTGTATATATTTGTCAAACCACAAGTCTCTCTTTACTATTTGAAATACGTTTTCTTCAAATATGTGGGTGAGGGGTGAATATAGGGATAGGGGTAAATTCTGAAAAAAATCGAGATTCTATAAAGTGCATATAAATCTATATTTAAAATTTGGCGAAGAGTCGCCATCTTTAAAGATGTAGCAGATATAAATTTATTACTGGTTTTCGATAATGTTTGTAATCGATAACCTAATAACGGGGCAAGTTATCGATTTAAAAAAAAATTAAAGCCTCTGAGATCGACTCGTTCAAACATACGGACAGACGTACAGAATATATATACTTTATGGGGTCCGTCACGCCTCCATCTGCCTGTTAGACACTTTTAACAAACCATTATACCTTGACGCCCCATTATCGATGGTTTCAGGGCATAAAAAGTGTGAAATAAAAAAAGTGGAAAGTAAAAACATTGTAGATTGAAAAATTACATTTTCAACGAGGTATACATCAAGGTATAATATAATTATCTAAAATTGTAAATAAACCAAAAACACAAAATTTGGCGTTACTTTAATATCCGGTTTTTTCTTAAACGACTGACAAAATTTGAGTTTGATTAGAAAACGGATCATATTTAATATTTGGTATGGTATCCATAATATGAAATACCAATTTTTAGCCGACTGTTCACCTTGTATGGCTGACCTCAAATATAGTGTGTTTTCAGCTCTATATATGAAGTTTATAGCACGCCATGGTCTTCCTAGTACTTCCCAAAAAGTTGAATATGTTTTCATTAAGGAATATAATGTCACCTATGATGAATAATATCCTCCATTCCCGGTAGGTCCTTGTACATATGTTAATTTTATGATACATCGAATTTAATCATCTCTTAATTAAGGGGCACTTAGTCAAGGATTGTCTTATTTTCCTGACAATATCGGTTTCTTCCAGTTTTTGCCCTTTCATAACCAAAAAATCCAATTGGTGCACTAGTTTTTGCTGCTCCAAAGATGAACCTGATCTTTTTCAGCCCATGATAAATTTTAGCTAAGGATTCAAGTTTTGCGCTATCTGTGCTTAAAAAATATATTTTTGACAGGTTACTTTTCCAGAAAATCTGTTAAATGACTTTTTTGTGGGTATTTTTACTTTTATTACTACTTATATTGATATATACTTCATCGGAAAAGTAACTTTTCAATCTACAAATTTGCATTAACACTTTTTTAATTTCAATTAATATCAAATATAAAAAAAGCCGAATATTATTGTTATATTATATATTATTTTATTATTTTTATTATGTACCTGAACAATTTTTGTCATTTCTTGAATGTCAATAACGCCATTCCCATCGACATCGTACATCCTAAACGCCCACTTTAATTTCTCTTCTGGTGTGCCGCTAGAAGTAACATCTATTGCAAGTAAAAATTCCTGTCAAAGAAAGTGAAAAACAAAAAAAAACTGATCAAGAAATATTGTCCACAATCGTACATATTTTAACTAGAAAGAAGTAAGAATGCTCTATCTCCTCTGAACCTTTCGAGGAACTGATATTTCAAAATGTCTTTGAGTCTTTCTACTAACAACAAACATACACACTCACAGACATACATAGGTACGCACGCATAAACACGTATGGGCTGTAGTGTGTGTTTACTATGGAAATTTCATTGTTTAATTAGGAAAAAAATTTCAAGTCTGTAGCTCTTATACGTTCCAAGATCGACACGTTCAAACATAGGCAGACGGACAGGAATAAATCGACTCACCTCGTCGCCCTTATCAAGAAACTATACTTTGTGGGGCCTGTCATGCCTGCTACATACTTTTAACAAACCCAGTTTACCCTGATTTCCCATTGAAAATGGATTCAGGGTATAAAAATGAAACAGCATAAAAATCTATGTAAAATTACAACATAAATAAGTAGAAATAATCAACGTCTAAAACCGCTATAACATTTGAATACTTTTTTACATAGCAAACAAATAAATGAAATTATTCATTTCCAGCACTATAGTACAACATTTTATTGTACTCAGAGAAACTGACAGTAATAGTTGTACTCTTTCCAAATGAATACAATATCTGCCTCGTTTTCACATGTTATGCATAATTTTGGGTGCAGTAAGTGACACCTCTACAGATAAATTAAAAATTTTGCACAACGTAGACTGAATAAATTAAAAATATTCCACCTAACCAAGAAATAGATTACATTTCCTATGAAAGGCAATGGAATTTGAGGATATGAAAATAATAATATACCATATACTGCAGAATTCGATGTTATGAATTGGTGGACAAACAAAATCAACCATTTTCCCAACTTTTTAAGGCAGTAAGTTCACGACACACCAAAACAGTGTACAGTAAAAGTGAATACACCAACCAGTGCTGCCAGAACTTCCCAAGCAAAAATTGCTAGATTTGGGGAAAAATGGCAAAAATTTCTAAAAATGTTGTGAAAATTGCCAAAAAAAAAATTGCAAAACCATTACAATTTTGATTTTCAGCATATATACTTATGTATTTTAAGAAACATAAAAATAAACAAATAATGAAACTCTAGTAGAGACTGCTTGACTACGAGATCCCCTGAATCCTTCGAGCAACTGATATTTCAATATTTATTCGCACTTACACACACACAGCCATACGCACGCACGCATAAACTCGAATTGGATGCAGTGGTGACTTACTATGGGAACTTTATTATTTAATACATTTCTTGTGGATGGACTATCTTCATGAATCTTTCAGATAATGAATATAACATAGATATGCATGTATTTGTTAAAGCACAAGTCTCTAGTATTTGAAATACGCCTTTTAAAAAGGTGAGGGTGGGGGGTAAATTTTGACAAAAATCGAAATTCCATAAAGTATACATAAATCTACATTAAAATTTGGTTAGCTTTTAAGATGTAGGAGATATAAATTTATTATTGGTTTTCGACAATGTTTTTAATCGATAACAAAATAACGGAGCAAGTTATCGATATTTATGCGCATGATATACGCGGACCTAAGAAAAAATTTGAGATCGACGCGTTCAAACATACGGACGGACGGACAACTCAACTCAGCTCGTCGCCCTAATCAAGAATATATATACTTTATGGGGTTTGCCACGCCTCTTTCTGCCTATTACATACTTTTAACAAAACCATTATACCCTGATTTCCCATTTTCTATGCGTTCAGGGTGTAAAAATTTATACTTGCAGCAGCTTTGCAGCCGGAAAATTGGTTTACACACAATTTTGACAAGTGGCAATCGCCGTTTACTGGGCAATGTGTAAGCATAATGATGCTTCCTGCCCCTCGGTTTTGGTCGATTTGCGAATAAAAGGCAACAAGTTCTTTTGTGCACCATGGTGGCGGATGTCAAGAAGCTTAGTGTTAATCGATGATTTGCCTTACGCACAATAAGCACGCGTTGGATTACTGCAATCCTTACGAATCCAAGCATCACGAAAGCTCTGTTTATATACTTTCAATTGTAATTTGTGGAGACGATGACAAAAAGGTATACAAAATGCAAAAACACTAAAGAAGAAAAGAATTTCTAGTTTTATAATAAAACTGCTGAAATTGCTTAAAAATAATTAAAACTTGCCAGTTTTATGGCTAATAGCATTTAAAAAATAAAAGTTGGAATTTTTTTTGGTATTAAATTGACTAAATTGACCACTAAATTGCCAAACTGGCAGCACTGACATCAACTGTCAACAAAAATGTTGTACAATATTAACTGATACTCATTTTGTACTGTACAAGAAAAAATGAGAACTCA